GGATTGCTGGGTCATAGGGGAGCTCTATGTGGAGTCTTTTGAAGAACCCCCATACTGATTTCCAAAGTGATTGAATAAGTTTACACTCCCACCAACAATGAAGTAAGGTTCCCTTCTGTCCACATCTCCTCCAGCATCTGTTGTTATCAGAATTCTTGATTATAGCATTCTAACTGGAGTGAGGTGGTATCCAAGTATTGTTTTGATTTGCATTTCTTTTATGGCTAGGGAGGTTGAGCATTTCTTCATGTGTCTATTGGCCATTCTTCTTTCCTCTTCAGAGAAGTTTCTCTTTAAGTCTTTAGCCCACTTATTTTTCTTGTCTTTCTTTTTCTTTTTTCTTTTTTGGCTAATAACTTTGAAGGTTTTGACAGACCAAATCAAGATCCAGTGTTAGGCATATAATTGTAATGTGAAAGCATCTAGACAACATTTTCTCCAAGTATGAATGTGTGCATTTTGATTGTGTGAGCCATTATAGGTACTACATGTGTGAGCACTTGGTTAATGATTTATAATGATGTATAAAAGACACAGTTCCTTGCTTTCATCTCTCCCAAAAGCTGTCTAAATAATAGACATGTTAATATGCAAAATGCTTTAACTATTAAGATAATTATATTTCAGTTGACTTTTCATATTCCTTATCAGTGCAAGACTTTTTACTATGTATACTCATTAATTTAAAACTACAGCTTTACAGTCCATTAAATCCTATTTGATCTATTTTTTTAAATTAGCTCATCATTTCAAAACACTCCTACCTCTCAACTCCCAAGGTCAGTTTTTATCAGGATGTATTTTATTGCCATAAAAGACCATTTCATGCTCTCCTTTAGTAAATGAAGCATATTATTCTTAGCATAAGTGGAATTTTAAAATCCCCTAGGGTTAATCAATAACAATATAGAGTTTCTGATTTTATAGTGACACTCACGTGCATGAATTTATAGGAACTTTAGAAGTGAAATGAAATTAAAGAATCTACTAATACATTTTGTAACTACCTTGGCCTTTCTTATTTGTTTAAAAATGGAGTATTGGAGATGGGATTGTAGTTTAGTGGTAGAATACTTACCTAGTATGGCATTACTGGGTTTTATCCTCAGCACAAAACAAAACATGAAGAAGGGGAGGGGAGCAGCTTGAGCTCTTGGTCAAGTTCAGGGAGTTGTTATTTTCCAGTACCTATTGGACATTTAAAATTACTGCATTGAGACTGATTTGTGACTTGAAACTGAAGTGAGGAAATAAATTATTTTATTTCATGTACATAAAGATCAGTAAGGAATAAAGTGAGAAAACTGAGTCACAGCCATCCCAGCACCTGGCTAGGTTCTTGGAGCTGTTTTACACAGCCATCCTGGTGCCTAGGCAGGAGATGGGGGCAGAGGGGGCTGTTTACCCAGTTCCAAGGCCTAGAAGTGAGAAAAGGCATCCTTTGATTACAGATGCCTTGCTCAAAGTAAGCTAGGAGGGCTCTGCTTCAGATAAATGCAGATATCATAGCTTTAGAAAAGCTTTGCATATAGAGATTGCTCTGATTCTGCCTTAACTCCCTAAATGGCTTGAATCACCAGCCTCTGAGTATCCTCTAAGTATACCCTATATGGAAGATTGAGGCCTATCTTCCTTAGATGGAAAAGTTCTACTGGTACCTGATTATGTCCAGTCAAGGTCTGACATCTTGTCTTCAAGGTGGGAGAAGGTGAAGCCTCCACCTCCCAGGTGATGGTTGTGCTTGAATCCCTGGTTACTGAACCTGTCAGTCCAGTGCCTTGGATTGGGAGTGTCCTGTGATCCTGCCCACTGGCCTGACCCTATTTCGGCCTTGAGTACGCCATGTCACTTGTCTCTGTGTTCCTATCCTGTCTCCGGTCTCCAGGCTGTTCTCTAGTCAATATGGCATCCCATTTCAGCTCTCCATTGGAGCTGAATAATTGGTTTGTTGTTATTGTTTTTGTTCTTTCTTTCTTCTGTCCTGTTTCTTAAGTGTATTTGCAGGCTGCTGGCCTTTGTAACAATTGGCTGCCTCCAGACTGCTAGCATTCCAATAAAGACTCCAAGATTGAACCACTCAAAATGGGGCTTCTCTGTTTTTCCCACCTTACAACAAAACCATAGAGTGAGGGCCTGGTGTGGTAGGATGGAAATACAAGGATTGAAATCCAAGCCTAGACTGGGCAAAAGTGTGAGGCCCTAGCCAAAAACTAAACTAGAAGAAAAAGAAGCCAGGCACTGATGGTTCATGCCTATAATCCTAGCTACTCATGAGGCTGAGATCTGAGGATCCAGTTTGAAGACAGCCAGGCAGACAAATATGAGAGACTCATCTCCAATTAACCAGCAAAATAACAGAAGTGGAAGCATGGCTCAAGTGGTAGAGCACCAACCTTGATGGAAAAAGCGAAGCAAGAACACAAGTCCCTGAGTTCAAGCCTCACTACTGGCAGAAAAAACAAACAACAATGACAATACTAATAATAGATTTCTGTACTGTTTGTTGTACCCATTCAGCAAACAGAATGCTTTTCTGTTCTTTTTTTCTTGTTATGCAAGGATTTACATTATATATATATATATAGGATATTGTAAAGATAAGACCCTGGGTTCGATTCCCCAACACAACACAAGCAGAAAAAAATCGGAAGTGGTGCTGTGGCTCAAGTGGTAGGGCAGCACTAGCCTTGAGCTGAAGAGCTGAGGGAGAGTGCCAAGGCCCAGAATTCAGCCCCCATGACCAACAACAACAACAAAAAAACAGACACTGTACAAAGAGGTCACAGTTACATGAGTAAGGTAATGAATACATTTCCTATTGAGCATTGTTACCACCTACTTTGTTTCCCCCCACCATCCCTTCCCCCCCACCTCCTCAACTTCTCCCTCCCCACTCCCTGAAGCTATAAAGTTCATTTTCAACAAAGTGTCTTGTATATCTCATTGGTACAATGAGTCAACCTGTATCCTTATTTAAGTATTTTGTTATTTCCCTCCTTCTCCCCAAATTAGAAAAATGTATATACAAGATGCAGGGCCACCAGAATCAAATACAGTGAAAACAGGGTTTATACCATGGGGGAAGAACTTACAAAAGAAACCAAAAAAATCACATAGTGCATTATAAGTACATTAAAAACAACAGCAACAAAGATAAAACCTCTTGTGTCCCTATTTTGAGGTTCATTTTGATAAGCATCATCATTATTTTTTTCTTTTTGGAAATGTATTTTTAATTTTTGAGCTTTTGTAACACAAGCTGTCACATAAGATGTATAAAATTCAAGAATCCAGTGTTGATGGCACAATTCAGTAAAAGTTCAATCACCTGGTACTCCTAGGAAGTCATTAGGTCATTCTTTTTCTTCAATAGTATTTTCTTCAGTAATTTTTTTACATTTTTATTGTAAAGATACTGTACTAACATCATCTTATATGATTACATGTACATAGCTTTTGACTTTTTCTGCTTATATTAGACATATACTAGTTATTGCAAACAAGGGAAATCATGGGACCTATGTTTTTATGGGTCTGGCTTAACTTCACAATATAATTTTTACTAAGTCTTTCCATTTCCTAACAAATGTGGTGGT